CGCCTTTGATAATGTCCAGCGCAGTTGTGGCCGAAACGTCAGGAAGAAATTCCGATAGACCACGGCTTCAAAGCCCGGAAAACATTCCTAAATGTAATTTAACCGGCCGTGAAAGCTTTTATAGTCCGATAGGAAGCTTTTAATCAATAACCATTTAAAACTCCTGGACGAACTAAGAGATTGATTTGAAGCCCTTTTTCCTTTGTGTTGATTCCCTGGAAGGAGTACGAATTTTTAAAGGAAATCAAGAGGAAACAGACATTGAAAAAACGCATACCTTGGCTACTTTTCCTTCCTAGTAAAGGACCTACTTTTATTATAAACGAACGCCCTTTTTTAAAAATACGCTAAAACTATCTATTCGTAGAGGTATTTTGTACAAGTTCACGAAACAATTCAGCATGAATCTCCTCAGGTTTGACTTGCATCGGCCTAAAGGACTAAGTTATTACATCAAGTTTCGCTGTGATTCACAATGCAAAACATTCTACAAAGAATAGCGCCCCAAAACGAACAGTGCCGTAATGAAAACCAGCATGTTAGAACTGGTCGACAGTCTGCAGCTGCTGTTTCTTCTCGGCGTGAACTTTCCTTTGATGATGCTGTTCTTGATTTCTTCCAGCGATGTTTCGATACTTTTATCAATGGCCCTCATCAAGGGGAAGTTCTGTGGGGAGTCATCGTCCGCGTTGGCGCAGTCTCCTTGAAAGTCGTCAGTGTCCACAGACCAAACCTATGTGACTTTGCAATAGAAACTCATTTAATTTGGGGCTAATTTCCTACCATGATCCCTGCCAGCTTTTTCTCCATGGCAAATTTAACTTTTTCATAAATAGACTTATCGTCGTCGTACGTTATCACCTGGCTGTTTCTGATTGCAAACGGAGTTGCGCTTTCGCTGTCCCAAAACTTCATCCATGGCTCCGTTTTGTTCTTCAATTCAAGGCAAATCTAAAGGGAATCAGTCGGATTGTCGCAGTTATTTAGACTAATGAATAATAAATTTACCTCATTATAGCCCATAAATCCGGGTTCTCTTGTGATGGGCCCTTGGAAGCCCACGCTGGTAGAAACTATGCCCAATTTGGGTTTTCTTTTCGAACTGGCGTGGAGTGCTTCAGGAAGCACGTATGTTCTGCCGTAGAGCGGCACTCCAAGCACCAGTTTATGCATCGGCGCCCCCAACTTAATCATGTAGTTTATCGTGTATTCCTGCGGGGAAACTCCGTTACGGGGAAACTCGGCGCTTTGAGGAAAACCTGTACAAACCACATTCAGTACATCTGAGCTTCTCAGAGGCGCGTTTGCTCCGGTTTTCTGATCCCAAGCGCCGTGATAGTCGTAGCACATCATGTGGATGAAGTCCAGATAGACGCCTAGGCCTTCTACATCGTAGGCGACGTCTATGGTGTCCTTTCCAGCCCCAAATGCGGCCGTGAGGAGGAGATTGTGTTTCCTAAAGGCTGATTTCAGTTCCTGCAAAATGGAAATTTTGCTGACAACATTAGAATTTGGAACATTAGAGCAGTTCTACCCACTTTCACTAGCAGCAGGAAATTTAGTTTGTCTTCAGGAGCGCCGCCCCTCTTGCCTGGAAACTCCCAGTCCAAATCCAGGCCATCAAAGTTGTATTTCCTGCAACCAGTTCACTTTAGCATTCACCTTTTCGGTGGTTTCTGAACCGACCTTATGAAGTCCACAGCACTGGCGACAAACTTGGATCTTCTGGGAGGTTCAGCGACTAGTTGGGAATAGTTTTTCGAGCCTTCGTTCCACCCCCCAATAGCTAAGGAGACTTTAAGGTGCGGATATCTGAGCTTGAGTGTAGTGATCCTCTGATAGCCCCCTTTTCCATAATGTTCGGTTAGATCTTGCCAAGGATCTGCAAGCATTCGCAACCATCATTAACAGTTTATCAAGGGAATTCGATGGGCAAAGGTTTTTGCGGCTAGTTCACGTGGATTTTCTAAAGGAAAATACGATGAATAGACTAAGTGAGTTACATACCTAGAGATTGGATAGAGTCTTCCTGAGGGTTCAGGCCGGCAAACGCGTAGATTACGTGAGTGCAAAGTGAGGGCTCCAAGTTTTCCACTGTGAACGAGCCTCGTGCTGGCCTGTAGGCGGCCCACGTGCCAATGTAGCAAACCACAACTTTGCCATGGGATGGACCTAAAAATGAACAATTTTTACTTAAAAAAAGCTAAAAGTAGAGTCTTTTAAAAAAGTTACTAGAAAATTTCCGGTTTGCTTGAGTTGAGCAAAAAATCTTGAAAAGACAGCTTTAAAACTAGCAAAATTGCTCGAGCGCATTTTAGGTGCTGTTTCAAAACTCTCCAACAACACAACAACTTTTCTTAACTTTTCACGCATTTACAGTAGGGCTGAGCCTTTCGGAAACAGCAACTGAAAACCTTCTGTCTAGTTTGAGCTTTGCCCAATAAATTTCTGAAGAAAGCCAAAAAGTCTCGAGATTTTTCGCAAAAAACTACATTTTCAAGGTGCTGACTTTGTTTTTTTTTCGATTTTTCTTTTGCTGACTGTTCTATTGAGGTTGTTGACGATGGAATATGGCAAGGGCGGATCCAGAATTGTATTCTTGAATTCAAGCATTATTTGAGAAAACTGCCAACATTTCCTT